CGTTAACAAAATACAACGAATCTTGCATGATTACCATTGGCCACCTATAACAGTCATATTTCTTATATTTCGTTTACTTTGTGATATGGACCTAAGGGTCTGAAGTAAAGAATGAATGAATGAATATTCACGATAGTACAATATATTATGGTACATTACAGCCTTACAATAGCTCACATTCTTCCTGTAAGGAGGCCAGCTAGCTCTCATCTCTCTTTCAGATATTGATCTACGTAGAGATTGTGTGTATACTGTCTCGTTTTTAATGCATCTCTCTTTTTCACACTGTTCTAAGTATGAATGCCATCATAAATTAATTCTCATGATCTATGTTAAGTAACTGTTACTAATGTAAAAATGTTTATGGTTATATTATTTCCTTAGATCATCAATGAGCGTCAGTGTTGCAGTGGACAACTGTGAGGAGGATCACAGCCACATGCCCCAGACCTGTGATGCAGAAACACAATGGGAGGATCCATCTGTCTCTGACCACAACTATGCTACAATATCTCAACTCAACCTGAAGCCACCTACATTTGAAATGGGAACACAATGCGTTGAGCCAGTGCTATAGTACATAACTCTGCTGAGAAACGACCACCTTTGTCAGCGGGTCGACATTGGATGCATTCCATTCAGTAGCCGAGCACCTCACCAGTTCATACACCAACAGCTTTCAGCTACACACTTGAGATCAGCTCCTAATGAAGCTGCGTCTTAATTTATTGCAGGGTGATCTTGCTGTAAGGTTTGGTGTTTCTCAGTCCATTGTAAGCAAGGTGATTTCGCGTTGGCTTGACATCATGGAGGAGAAGTGTTTCCAAACACAACATGTAGGGCTGCACAATATATCTAAATATAACAAATGAATATATTGCAATATGCATAACTTTTTTAGCTTTAATAAGAATCAGTGTATATATATATATATATTTAATTCATACAGTGAAAACTAAGCAGTGTTTTATTTTTACATTTGATTATTCAGTTTCTGTTGTTAAATAGACCTAATGTAGGATAACCTGAACCCCTTAACCCCGTGGTTTACACTGATGTTAAAATAACACTTCTTATGCTACAGTAAAACACTGCTGTTCACTTTCACAAGTTGAAGGGATGTTTTCTTGTCACAAAAAAATTTGAAACACGTATGTAGGTTATATAAGTTTAAATCTAAATTAAGTTAATTTTATAAATTTTAAGCACAATCGTATCGAATATCGCATTGTTTAATGAGTAATCAAATTTTTTCTTCAATATCGTGCACTTAATAACTTCGTCCAGGCGATGAAGTAATGGCAGACAGAGGCTTCACCATTACCGATCTCCTCTATGAAAGGAAGGTGAAACTTGTCCTTCCTGTAAACTTTTACAATGTGCCCATATTTTACCTGTTATGAAGTTATTTTTATAAACCTTTACAATGTGACCAGATTTTACCTGTTATGAAGTTATTTTTATAAACCTTTACAATGTGACCAGATTTTACCTGTTATGAAGTTATTTTTATAAACTTTTACAATGTGACCAGATTTGACCTGTTATGAAGTTATTTTTATAAACCTTTACAATGTGACCAGATTTTACCTGTTATGAAGTTATTTTTATAAACCTTTACAATGTGACCAGATTTCACCTGTCAGTCATTTATTATTAAACCATATGTGAGCTCTGTAGATTCCCTTTAAAACTTAAATGAATTAAGTCTTCTAGTTAGAAGGAATAAGTCACGTCAATTTTGCAAATGAATACCATCTTGGTTTATTACTTAAGACATTTAAATGGTGAAATGTATCTACATGAAGGTCAGTAGAAGGTGTCTCTAGCTTCCTGAAAACATCAAACACTTCTTACAACTGATTTTATAAAACTTATTTAATCATTTATATTTAACCAATTACCTCATCTCCTATCCTTAACTAAATATTCTCATTCCTTCTTATTTACACATAATTTGTTATTGCTGCTCCATCAACTCCTAACAGGACGAAGTAGTTAAATATGTCCACATATATGGCAAGCCGTTTTAGCTTTAATTGTACCCAGCCTTACTCGTCGTAATTACATTTTTACTAGTAATAATTCAATTAGAGAGCTCTACAATTCAGTTATTACTAGTAACAATTACAATTAGAGAGCTCTCTAATTCGATTATTACTAGTAACAATTACAATTAGAGAGCTCTCTAATTGAATTATTACTAGTAACAATTACAATTAGAGAGCTCTCTAATTCAATTCTTACTAGTAAGAATAACAATTAGAGAGCTCTCTAATTCAATTCTTACTAGTAACAATTATTATTAGAGAGCTCTCTAATTCAATTATTACTAGTAAGAATTACAATTACAGAGCTCTCTAATTCAATTCTTACTAGTAACAATTGCAATTAGAGAGCTCTACAAATGAATTTTTACTAGTCATATGTCTCCATTGACTTCCATTCATTTTTAATTAGAGAGCTCTATAATTGAATTGTTACTAGTAAGAATTACAATTAGAGAGCTCTCTAATTCAATTATTACTAGTAAGAATTACAATTAGAGAGCTCTCTAATCCAATTCTTACTAGTAACAATTACAATTAGAGAGCTCTCTAATTCAATTCTTACTAGTAACAATTACAATTAGAGAGCTCTCTAATTCAATTCTTACTAGTAAGAATGCAATTGCAGAGCTCTCTAATTCAATTCTTACTAGTAAGAATTACAATTAGAGAGCTCTCTAATCCAATTATTACTAGTAACAATTACAATTAGAGAGCTCTCTAATTCAATTCTTACTAGTAAGAATGCAATTACAGAGCTCTCTAATTGAATTTTTACTAGTAAAAAAACGAATTAAAGATATGTATAATTGGAGAGCTCTGTAATTGAATTAGAGAGCTCTGCAATTGCATTCTTACTAGTAACAACTGAATTAGAGAGCTCTCTAATTATAATTGTTACTAGTAATAATTGGATTAGAGAGCTCTCTAATTGGAATTCTTACTAGTAATAATTCAATTAGAGAGCTCTACAATTGCATTCTTACTAGTAACAATTGAAATAGAGAGCTCTCTAATTGAATTAAAGAGCTCTGCAATTGAGTTGTTACTAGTAAGAATTGAATTAGAGAGCTCTCTAATTGTAATTCTTACTAGTAACAATTGCATTAGAGAGCTCTCTAATTTAATTGTTACTAGTAAGAATGCAATTAGAGAGCTCTATAATTCAATTACAGAGCTCTTTAATTGTAATTGTTACTAGTAACAATTCAATTAGAGAGCTCTACAATTAAATTGTTACTAGTAAGAATTGAATTAGAGAGCTCTCTAATTGTAATTGTTACTAGTCATAATTGGATTAGAGAGCTCTCTAATGGAATTGTTACTAGTAACAATTGAATTAGAGAGCTCTCTAATGGTAATTCTTACTAGTAACAATTCAATTGTAGAGCTCTCTAATTGTAATTCTTACTAGTAACAATTCAATTAAAGAGCTCTGTAATTAAAAATGAATGGAAGTCAATGGAGACATATGACTAGTAAGAATTCATTTGTAGAGCTCTCTAATTGGAATTGTTACTAGTAAGAATTGAATTAGAGAGCTCTGCAATTGTAATTGTTACTAGTAATAACTGAATTAGAGAGCTCTCTAATTGTATTTTCACTAGTAAGAATTGAATTAGAGAGCTCTCTAATTGTAATTGCTACTAGTAAGAATTGAATTGTAGAGCTCTCTAATTGAATTCCTACTAGTAAGAATTGCATTAAAGAGCTCTCTAATTGAATTAAAGAGCTCTGCAATTGCATTCTTACTAGTAAGAACTGAATTAGAGAGCTCTCTAAATCAGTTTTTACTAGTAATAATTGCATTAAAGAGCTCTCCTAATGTAATTCTTACTAGTAAAAACTGATTTAGAGAGCTCTCTAATTTAATTCTTACTAGTAAGAATGCAATTGCAGAGCTCTTTAATTCAATTAAAGAGCTCTGCAATTACATTCTTACTAGTAAGAATCGAATTAGAGAGCTCTCTAATCGCAATTGTTACTAGTAAGAATTGAATTAGAGAGCTCTCTAATTGTAATTGCTACTAGTACGAATTGAATTGTAAAGTTCTCTAATTAAATTTTTACTAGTAAAAATGAAATTACAACAAGTAAGGCTGGGTACAATTTAAGCTAAAACGGCTTGCCATACACATAGGTTAACTGTTACCTCTGGCCACGTTAACAATGACGATGGATGAGACAATGTGAGACCAACTGATCGTCCTATGAAGTTTTCTCCGTGCTCCCAGTTTAAAACATTTATGGTATTAACGTTATTTGACATTTTGCTAAAGTTTTGGCTAGCTAAAAAACAATCTTCTAACAACTGAAATAGCTACCGGATGTGCCGTGCCAGTTTAGCGGAAGTCGGATGACAAAATGCGGAAGCGCGAAGTATTAAAAGTGGGCGGGGCGGAATAAGGTGAATAGCAGTGATATCTGACATTTCCTACATAAACCAAGAAGTCCAGGTTTAGCATAGCACAGTTAGTTGGTAGGCGTTTTGGCCAGTGTTGGGGGATGCATTACAAATAACGCAAGTTACGTAATCCGATTACTTTTTTCAAGTAATGCATTACTTTTACTTTTACATCAAAATATCTAAGTTAATTTTTCAAATAAGCAACACAAGTTACTTTTTTTTTCCCATTTATTGACTGACACCTCTCCTGTCCTCATGTTGAGAAATTGTAAGGAACGAGTCGAGGTGTTGTAAACTTGATGCTTATTTTAGCGTAGTTCTAGACTAAATGTGAGTATCTGATAATATGAGTACAACAACAGATTCAGTATTACTCAAAATGAATAAAAACAATGAAATGAAAACTCAGAATAGATATATTGTGCACTGAAAACAGTCACTGCAGTCGGTGGGAACTGTTTACTTCTCGCAGCATTGTGCTCGGTCGGATCTATTTCTGTGCAGCACCCTCGTGCTGTTGTGATTGCTGTCGCTTGTCGCTTGTCATAATTTGAGGTAATGAAAGTGGAAGACAGTGGATCCGTGTCTGTCTGTTTATCTAACATTACACCGCTGCAAATGAGAAATGATCATTTAGATACACCGTTGTTATGAATATGTAATGTTTACGGATGTCTGCAGTTGAACTCTCAGCTAGAGAAGTAGTTTTCTGTATGTGACAGTTTTTTCAGTGCGAAAAGTCGCAATGGATCGAGCATTAAACTCTGACCCTGTCATTACAGCTCACACTGAAGGTAGGATGCTCTAATGACACTTTAACAGTATTTTATGTTTTATAAAATAAGCATTTTTTTTATCCTGACGTGTGTTTTTTTATAGGTCGTTTTCAGCGCTGGAGAATTTGTATTGGGTTTTGGTAAGTGAATCTTCTGCAAACTTTGCTTAAAGTGATACGCAATATGTAAACTAATCTTCATTATCTCTATCTAGGTTACTGGGGCTTTGCAATAACTTTGCATATGTGGTGATGCTGAGTGCAGCACATGACATCTTACAAAAACAGGAATCTCAAAACACAACAACACCTGTAAGATTTTTCTGAGATTTGGCTATGATTATATTGCTAAAAACAGTTGTCACAGCTCCATCCTTCCCTTGTGAAAAAGAAGTGCGCTTAATTGTATTGAATGTGCACGAGTACTTTGAATTAAAAGTTTATTTAAAAATAAATGAATAAATTACTCGCAATTAATATAATTAATTAAATAACGTGTTCTTAAAGAGAGTGTTTATTAACAAAAGTATTTTTAAAAAGAACACTTTGTAATAGTCAAATGTTAAATTCATATTTCAATATTCTTTTGTCATGCTTTTAAGAAGTACACTTATTATTTTAAAGTATTGACTAACATACTAAATATTTAAAGTAGATATATTTTAAATATACTAAATTGCAGCTTAATCATTACAAATGTGTAATTACAAATATATTTAAATACATGACATTATGTTTTAGTTTACCATTAATGCTTATCTGTACATTCAGCAGTTCACTTCAGTCATATTTCAAAGACAATAGAGGTAATTATGAAATTACATATAGGCCTGGTTATATAGGCTTAGATTAAGCCAGGATTAGGCCATAGTTCAATTAGGACATTTAAGTAGCTTTTATAAACGTTCCTTAGAAAAAAACAATGCACTGACATATTTTAAGATATATCAGTGCGAGTTTCTTTCAGTTGAAACGGCTCAAACATGCATTTTAGTCTGGGACTAGCTTACAGTAAGCCTTGTCTGTGAAACTGGGGAATAAAGATGTACTTAAGTCCTAAGTCCTACACTCTTAATTTGAACTAATTGCATTATATTAGGAATTTAAACTATAATAGAATTTCCGAAAACATTACGTTCAGTTCAGACTTAATATATTCTTTTAAAGTATATTATGTCCATTATGTACTCTTTTTAAAAGTATGTTAAAGTGTACTTTTTCCACAAGGTCTGATTACTCGTGTTTGTCGTTTTTTATTTTGTTCTCGCACTAGACTCCAGCTCCAAATGGGACTAACATAGAGATAAGGAACAGCAGCAACCGCTTTGACTGCAATCCTGTGTCCACTGCGGTACGTCTGTCTTTCTTTCTCTCTGTCATTCCTTGTTTCAACTGTTCAAACGTGTCCCCCATGTTGTCTAGGGATTTTAGTGTATGTTTAAATATTTGTCAGGGACTGACACTGTTTTATTTCTGTTTCTAGGCTGTGCTGTTGGCTGACATCTTACCCACCCTCATAATCAAATTCACAGCACCTTTCTATATACACAAAGTGCCTTATGGGTAAAGTTGACAAGCACTTATTTATTTTATGTCTAACAACCGTCAGCATCTTCAGACAGGTTTAGCTGCGTAGATGTTGAAATTATGTCATGTAAGACTGTGATCAGAGATGGATAGTGTGTGCAATAGTGTGAGAAATCAATGTCAAACCCGTTAACAAAGTTGAAAGGATGAATTTGATTTGATTGTAGCCCCGCACAGTGTTTTTTTCTGTTAAAGAAACTAAGGATAGTTCTGTGAAAGACAAAAAAGAATTATACCTTTAATTGTTAATTAATGTGTTATTTTCTTTCGCTTTTATTATGAACAGTTTCCGTGTTTTGGTGTGTTTCTTTACGGCAGTAGTCAGCTTCCTGATGGTGTCATTTTCTTCAACTGTATTGATGAGCATAACTGGTAATGAGCATGTCCTCTTTTGAATTGGATTAATGAGATCTGATAAGTGTTGTGATGATGAACCTCTGAATCTTTCCTCAGGTGTCGTCTTTGCCAGTATTAGTTCAGGATTGGGGGAGCTTTCCTTCCTCTCCCTCTCTGTGTTTTTCAGCAGGTAGCGCCTAGAAACCCATTCATTCATTCAAACTGTTCTGAATTGGGATGTTTTTGTACCTGTACAGTATGCACTATTTTTGATGTTAAAGTACCCATTATTCAAATTAATATAACCTTATTATGTTAGTCTTTTGGTCATTTCATTTTGTGAATGTTCAGGTATAACTGTGGTAGTAACAGCAGTTATTATGCCAACAATGCTGAGTACATTGCATTGTGAGATCTTGCATCTAGTGTGCTGCACATTTTGTGAAATTGAGTTGGTTATAATATCTGGGTATTCTACGCATGCAGAAATTAGCATACTATGCACAGGATTCTCTACCATTGAACAGTTTGGCTTCTGTAAAACATTTGTAAACAAATTAACACACTTATGGTGCATTAAATTGATCAAAAGTGGCAGTAAATACATTCATAATGTTACACATTTATACTTCAAACAAATGCTGTTCTTTTGAACTTTCTATTCATCAAAGAATCCTGAAAACATAATCAAGGTTTCCACCAAAATATTAAGCAGCACAACAGTTTTCAACATTGATAATAATCAGAAATGTTCATGTGACACTGAGGACTGGAGTAATGATGCTGAAATTCAACTTTGCATCACAGGAACATTTTAAAATATAGTCAAATAGAGAACTGTTATTTTAAATTGTACTATTATTGCACAATATTGTTGCTTGAACTATGTTTTTTGGTCAAATAAATGCAGCCTTGGTGAACATAAGAGACTTTAAAAACATTGGAAAATCTTACCGACCCCAAACTTTTGAATGGCAGTGTAATGACTGCATATTACAGAAAAAGTATGAATAATATGTTAGTATCCTATTCCGAGCATAGCCCTAGTCACTGATCTCAGTTTTACTTGCTATTTATCAACATTTTGCGTCTGTGTTTCTGTCTCTTTAAGGGATGTGTTAAGTGGCTGGGGGTCTGGCACGGGTGCAGCAGGAGTAGCTGGAGCTTTCCTCTACTCAGCATTTACACAGGCTGGTCTGACCCCCCAAGTTACGTTATGGATCATGCTGGTTGTCCCTGTTATTTTGGCTGTTAGGTCAGAAAAACTTTCTCAACTCTATTGGTTGAACCTGTTGACCAAATTGATTGCATAAACATATCTTTTTCTCTCGTGATTTTATTTTCCAGCTATTTCTTCCTCCTTGTGTTCCCACCCTCGTTCCCACAGTGGAGACGGCACAATGTTGGTCACAGTTATTTCAGAACGCCGAACTCCAGGGAGAGACGCCCTTTAATTGAGGAAGAGACTGATACTGATGAGGACTCTGAGCCTTCTCCTGAAGAACAAGGTGTGTACATTTAGGAACTGGCTGCTTGTATTGTTGCAACTTTTTATTCTCATGGTTATGTATATGATGGTCCATTCAGATAACTGTACTCTTCCTTCTGACAGAGGACCATCACATCGGACCCCTGACCTTCACTGACCAAATATACGTTTTTAAGGTTAGACCTGCTGTGTGCATCTATATGAGCCTCAGTTTGGTGTTTCTTGTCTGCTTAAGTGATATTGCATCTGCTTTGTTCAATAAATAAGTAATGTAATTTGATCGTGCACTAAGTCATTTTTGCAGGATTATTTGCTATGATTTATTTATTCACAGACCTTGAATTTTATACTGACACCCATAAGGATGAATGCAGTGTAGCATTTTTATTACCGTTTTTTTTTTTTTTAGCATATCAGTAAATTTGTCTCATGATTATTATTTAAATCTAATTCTTATAATAGTTTAGAATTACTGAGGTAAAATTTGTAATTTTCACTTAGTCATGGGATGTCTGTCTTTATTTGTATTTTTGTTCAAGGCCACTGAACATCAGAAATGCTGTGTATTTCTTTTGGGGTTACATTTAAAAAAACAACAACATGGTGCACATTTAAAGTGTGAGCATAGCTTGTGTGTGTCATGTAGGATAGCAGTGTGTGTGTGTGTGTGTTTTGTTTGCACCTTGTTGTGCTGCAGTCAGGAAATGCACTTCCTCTTTGAGTCTTTTACTTATTTTAATGTTTGTTCTTACCCATATGATCTCTTTCAGGGCCTGTTGAAGTTTATTATTCCTCTTAGTGTGGTTTACTTCGCTGAGTATTTCATTAACCAGGGACTGGTGAGTGTTTTCTGTAACAGTCACAGACAAGTCAAAAAGAGTAAGACACCAGTAAAAACTACCTGTGTTCTCTAAATAAATATCACTATATATTTATTAATCTCTCTCATTAGTTGGAGCTGCTCTACTTTCCTGACTCTCCTCTCTCACATGCAGAACAATATCGCTGGTAGGACACATGACAAATCTCTTTAATTTCATGACTTTGAATTACACTACCGTTCAAAATTTTGGGGTCGGAACTGCTTTAATTCGATTTTTTTTTTGTTACTAAATGTTACTACAATTTAAATGTTTTCTATTTTAATAAATTTTGAAATATATTTTGAACTGTAATTTATTCCTGAGCTGAATTTTCAGCAACTTTAGTCTTCAGTGTCACATGATCCTTCAAAAAATATATTTAGTATGATGATTTGATGCTCAAAAAACAATTCATATTATTTATCAATCTTGACTTTTTTTCCCGTGTAAACCATGATACATTGTTTTCAGGATTCTTTGATGAATAGAAAGTTAAAAGAAACAATATTTATTTGACATTGAAATCTTTTGTAACATTATAAATGTCTTTACGGAGACTTTTAATAAATTGAATGAGTCCTTGCTGAATAAAAGCATTTAAAAGCATTAAATAATAAAAGCATTAATTAATTTCTTAAAGTATTCAACCAAGCTTTGCAAAGGCATTAAAATATTTAAAAAAAAATTACAAATAGACTAGTGTAATGTGTATTTTATCATAATTTCAGTAAGTTTATAATTTAATCAAACAATCTTTGTGTAATTAAATTATAAACTTACTGAAATTATGATAAAATAAAATAAGGTACAATTCTTCCATCGTGCCCTAATAATGTAGACATCATAAAAAAATATTGTTGTCACATTCACTTAAAAAAGAAAATGCGACATTAGGGGTGAATATATGATGAAAGAAATTCTCATTTTGGGGTGAAGTATCCCTTTAAAGGGATAGTTCACCTCAAAATGAAAATTCTGTCATCATTTACTCACCCTCAAGTTGTTTCAAACCTGTATGAATTTCTTTCTTCTGCTGAACACTTCAGGAAGATATTTTGAAGAATGTCAGTAACCAAACAGTTAACTGGACCCATTGACTTCCATAGTATTTTTTTTTTCCTACTATGGAAGTCAATGTGTCCAGTTAACTGTAGAGAAATTCATACAGGTTTGAAACAACTTGAGGGTGAGTATATGATGACAGAATTTTCCTTTTGAAGTGAACTATCCCTTTAAGAGAACATCCCAAATCCACTTAATTTGGAGACTTGGTTCTTCTGTCTCAAACATTATCAGTTTTTGTTTTGATGTTGTTTGATTCCATTTAAATGCCAGCAAATGCTCAATGTGCATCATTATCTCTCCTCTGCAGGTATCAGACAATTTACCAGATTGGTGTGTTTGTCTCCCGCACATCTCTTGTCTGTTTTAAGATCAGGAAAATTTTCCTTATGTCTCTCCTACAGGTGAGATCTGTACACAACAGTACATAAACTTATACATACTGTACATATGCAACAGTAAAATACAAGAAAATAGAAAGCATATTTAAAACTCCTCATGACACCGATTACTCTTTCTCTTTCAGTGTGTGAATGCTGTTGTGTTGGGTTTTGCTGTATATTACCAGTTCTTGCATTACCCATGGGTGGTCTTTATTATTGTCCTCTATGAGGGTCTGTTGGGAGGAGCAGCCTATGTGAATACCTTCTATTTCATCCATGAGGAGGTATGTGACCTTCATTCGAACCATTTGATTAGATCAGCATGTATTAGTCATGGTCTCTCTAAAGCATTCTCTTACGCTGTGTTTCTGGACAGACCGCTGAGCGTGAGAGAGAGTTTGCCATGGCTGCAGCAAGCGTGGGGGACAGTCCGGGAATCGCTCTCTCTACAGCTGTCTCCTTCCCCGTTCACCAGTATTTCTGCTCTTTATGAGTGAATGAAAATGTGTGTATGTGAAATATAAAGACATTTATATCATCATAAAAAAAATCCTCTTAACATCTTGATCAAAAAACAGTACATTCCATTAAACTTTGGACTAGTATGTTATTATTTAAATGAATGTCTTCTTTGTAACTAAAAATCCTGGAATCAAATGTGTAATGTTTCCTAAAAGTATTCTTTTAAGTATTAAAATATTTTGCTTGAGGTACTTATGTGTTGCTCTAACGACAACTATTGGAAAATAACCAACTAGTCCCTGAAATTTTACTGCCTCCATTTATAAAGCATTTACATTTCTCTTTTCGTGGCTAATGGTGACGGTTGTAGGTCCTCACCCTTGGTTTTGCAATCGAACTTATGAAGCAAATGTCTGCAGACTTGGCAACAGTGTGTTGCTTTCTTAAGAATCATTGCTTTCATTTCCCATTCCCTCCCAGTTGCATGTGATGTTTCAATTTAACTTCATGCAACAATTGAGCAATGGAAAAGTATTATAACCAGGCACTAGATGGTAGTACAGAGTTGCAGCCGTAAAGGGAAGTGTGTGATGGGTGATGCCTGACACATTTAAACTAATCATGTGACACGTCTTCGTCAGCTCTGAGTTGACAGTACACTTTAACAAGATTTCAAAGACAATAGAAGTCATTTGGAAATTACACATAAAGATGTACCGATAAAATCACTATTTTAAGGATATTATTTCTGTAAAAATTATTCTTTTTAAATGTATGGGAAAGTTAATTTATTTTTCACAAGGGATGAAAATTAACAACCACTCAGACTGAAATGTTTATTCCAGCAAAAAACAGGCCAACTCATATTTTGAACAACTATTATGATATGAATGCAGTTTTTACAATCATATTTATTGACACAATACATGGACTTTTGTACAGTGGAGGAAACTGGAGGGGGGAAAAAGCAAAAATGTGAATAAAAATGGTGACCAGTTATACACACATATATAAAAAATATATATACAAAAAAGTAAACAAATTACTTTTATTTTGAAAATCTGTGTGTAATAGCTGCCATCTTGGGTATTTCTCGAAGGTAGCAATGTTCACATTGGTGCAAATGAGACCGTAAACCAGGCGGAGGGATTGATTAATAGATCAAAACTGGTGAGATTTGTCAATATTTTTTTTGTTTGCTAAATCAAACCCACAACCCACAAATTATGTTATGCTAATATTAATTTCTGTAACTGAATGTATCTTTCTTATCCTTAAAAGACATAAAGGTTTAGCTAGCTTAGCATCATAATGAATGAGTGAACTTAGCAAAACTCTTTAGCATGATAATTTTGTTTTTGTATACGTTTGGACTCATTGCAATGTGGATGTCGAGTTATTAATTCATACTGTATTGTCATGACATGCCCGACTCGATGAGGGTCTGTTGGTGCTCCTGTCACGAACCGTGATTCACCACCATCGCGCAGACTCAGTCAGAAGTCTCCTGTCTGCTGTAATTATGTGTCAGTAGTTAGTCATCCATGTGTGTGTGCACATTTCTCATCAAGTCTGGGTTTATTCGTGTGTGTGTGTGTGTGTGTGTGTAAACATGGCATCTTCCCTTTGTTCTTGCAGGAAGTGTCTGGTGTTAAACTAACAGTGTGTCTGTGGTCCTGTTGATAGGAAGGGCTCAGCAGTGCCTGGGTGCCCAGGGAGCCACTGCCTGAGTCCCTAGAGGTAGACACCAGACAACCACAGGACATGAGTGCCGCCAAAGGAGGTCTGGTCATCTTCACGGCCAACTCCAACCCCTCCAGCAGAGAGCTGGGCAGGAGGATAGCCGAGTAAGTTGCCACTGGAGGTCCCTTATAACCTGGCAGTTATATTGGGTAGTTAGGAAAAGTGGTAAGACATAAATTCTCCAACTGCAGATCTGAGCTGGAACAACTGTATTCTTTTGAGTACCAATGGTTAGTACCAAATCAAGATTTTTTTTTTGTTGTTGTTTTACTAAGAGATGTTTTTTTTTCTTCTATTTTAAAATACACTATTTTTCAAAGGTTTTGGGGTCAGTATTTTTTCTTACCTTTTAAAATACTTTTATTTAGCAAGGATGCATTAAAGGGGTCATATAATGATACATGCACTTTTACAAGTTGATTGTACTGAAATGTGTGTTGGCAGTGCCTGTACACAACCATCATAAAATGATAAAAATCCATCCAGTGTTTTTAGGGTGACCAGAAGTCCCGAAATCTAAGCTGTTGTCCCGAATCCCGAAACTGGCCTTAATTGTCCCGAAAATCTTGATAAAACAATAAAAACTGTCCGTGGAAGTTGAGTTGTCCTGCAGTAAAATAAGTGTTTTCTTACAATTCTAATGAGAATTTTTAATTAAAGTATATTACAAACTTTTAATTTAGATCCTAAAGAATCATATTAGCTTGTACAAAAATGGCATTATATGACCCCTTTAAATTAATCACAAAAAGTGACAGTAAAGTCATTAGGTTACAAAAGATTTATGTTCTAAATAAATGCTGTTCTGTTCATCAAAGACAACTGTGTTCACTTTTATAAACGTTCTCAACATTTATAATTATGTTTCTTGAGCACCAAATTAAATGAGCATATCAGATTTTTGATCAAATAAATGCAGCTTAGGTGAGCATAAGAGGCTCTTTAAAAAAAAAAAAACATTACAAAAATACAGAACCCAAACTTTTGAATAGTAGTGTATGTTTGGATGAATCTCACAAAGGCTCACATTTAATAAAAAAAAAGATATATGTACAGTATATAGTATATATTTGTAATGTATGTATATATACCTCCATGCAAAGAATAAACATCAATAGTTATGTTAACATTTTAACTATGGGTCTTTCTAGTCTAACTGAGATTTACATCTTGTAACTTAAATGTAAAATACGGATGATTTCTGCTGTGTGTTTCCATTTAAGTTGTTTTTTGCTTCATATTCCTCTGAAAATTTGTTCTTGCACAGGCGGTTGGGTGTGGAACTTGGGAAGGTGCAGGTCTATCAGGAGGCTAACAGAGGTGAAGGCCTGTTTTCTGCTCAACTTTCTATTAAATATCTGCTTTTTTTATCTACACTAGCAGTGGCTGTAGCTGAAGTGGTTGTTCATTCTTTGCGTGCCATACTGTAGCGAGTAGACAATACAGAGCAGGGATCTGAGCTACTATTGGCTAATTCAACTGACAGTTTTTGTTTTGGTTCATGCTTGTGTATTGTGAAATGGAGATACGCTTACACTCCCACATGCAGACACTGTGGTGAAATTCTCCCATTATTCCCTGCACAGTCAAATCTTTGTGCAAACTTTTAAATAGCTAGTCTGTTTGTGTGAAAATGTACAGTGGACCTAAAAAATAAAAAAAATAAAGTAACATTTCTTTTCCCACAGAAACACGTGTCCAAATCGAAGAGTCTGTGCGCAGCAAAGATGTTTTCATCATTCAGACCGTGTCCAAGTAAGAAGCCTTAAACACAACAGTAGGAGGCAATCATTTTTTCATCATGTAAAGGCAATTTAATTTTGTTGATATATGTATTTATTTATTTATTTTACAAAAATGTGTTGTTATTAGTATTTAAAATGTTAATGGTTTAACATGAAGTCAAAAGAAAGGTTGACTAAATGGGGAATTTTTTCAGTGAGATTGGAACCATAATCAACTTTATTTATTTTTAATCTCCAAACTAGTTTTCTTTTTCATCTAGAGCCCTGTTTTGACAACTCAAACCTCCTGCAGCCAGTGTGTAGCATTATGCAAATTCATGTAAATTATCCCTCACTTTGACATTGATACTGATGTATACAAATTAGTTTTCCTAAATCCCAGTCTTTGAAACCTTCCTTCTTTCCCCATCTGCAGGGATGTTAACACCACCATCATGGAGCTGCTCATTATGGTGTACGCCTGCAGGACGTCCTGTGCTCGGAACATCATCGGCGTCATTCCCTATTTCCCCTATAGCAAACAGTGCAAAATGAGGAAGAGAGGCTCAATCGTCTCTAAACTACTTGCCTCAATGATGTGTAAAGCAGGTAAATGAGTCCATCTGAGACTAAACTGTCCCTTCATTTGTGGTTTATAAAGAAAACTGGGCAATTATAGTCTTCTAACTCTGTCCAATGTGGCTTTGAGCAGGTCTGACTCATCTCATTACTATGGATTTGCATCAAAAGGAAATCCAGGGTTTCTTCAACATTCCAGTGGACAATCTCCGGGCCTCACCGTTCCTGCTACAGTACATACAGGAAGAAGTAGGTCCTTGCTTAACGCTTGTCTGGATGTCATGCATGAGATCTGAGATTCCTGAGATACTGTTGTTGTTTTTCCCGTTTGTCCTGTCAAAGCCTTCAGTTTGAAATAATAGGTCAGTCCATGTTATGTTGCTAATAAATAGAAAGCAGGACAGAAACCGGATTTATCAGACGCTGATTTTTCTCAGAATAAATTTCTGCACTCAAGCTTATGCATTCATTTATTCATGATAAATTTTCTCTCCTGCTCAGATGGAAGGTCATCTGCCAATAGCTAGTAATGAGCGTTGACTGTATGTGAATGCATAATATATGTGTGTATTTCTGCCTTTCCTTTTAGATTTTTAAATCGTTTTTTTTACTTACTTTGCCTCTGCATTCAGATTCCTGACTACAGAAATGCTGTAATTGTGGCCAAATCTCCAGCATCAGCCAAAAGGTAAAGTCATATCTTACTTTTGCGGTGTCATGTCATGTAAAAGATCCACAGGCCTTTGAAATAGAGACTTGCAGGAGTAATTGACTAGTCAAGTATTTGTACTAGACCAGCTAGTAAGATTATAATATTAAATAATATTACCTTCCCACCAAATCCCTCACTTAAATCTCACTGATGCAACTGTATGCATTGGGTGGCGCTGTGCAAACATGATGTTGAGGTAATGAAAGATGATGATGTGTGCTGTCAGATGCATCCAAGTGTGTCAGTATTTTAATTCCTACTGGTATACTGGTTCTTTTTACAGTCATGCATCCCACGGGATAAAACAATTGGTTGTAAATTTGAAAGTAAATGAGAAATTCAATTAAAAAACATTGTCTGTCACATGGTGATATAAATGTGTCTCACAAACAACATCAAAACATCTATATAAAATAGACACAATAGTGCCAAAAAATATAGATGATTCATAAAAGGGGGTGGTGATGGCGCAGTGGATAAGACACTTGCCTTTGGTGTGAGAGACCCGGGTTCGAATCCACTACGAGACACCAATGTGTCCCTGAGCAAGACACTTAACCCCTAGTTGCTCCAGAGGCGTGCGACCTCTGACATATATAGCAATTGTAAGTCGCTTTGGATAAAAGTGTCAGCTAAATGAATAAATGTAAAATGTAAATGTCATAATGTCGTATTTTCTATATAATGTCGTATTTTAAAAAAGAGGACAGTGTAAGACACTGGTTCTCAACCAGGGGGCCGGGCCCATTAGGGGGCCTCGGCAAAATTCCCTGGGGGTCTTTAAATTATGTTAATTTGGTTATAAATGCTCATCCCTACCCGATTACCAGGATTTTGAGTAGCATTTGCGGCTCTTTTTCTTCTTTCGTGTTTGTTCCTTGGTTTGTGTCAAAACGGTTTAGTAGAGCCACATGGAAAAAAAACTTGAAAAAAAAAATTCTGTCTGTCCTTTTACAGGGCCCAGTCATTTGCTGAAAGATTGCGGCTGGGGATCGCTGTGATCCACGGTGAAGCCCAGGATGCAGAATCGGACCTGGTGGATGGACGCCATTCCCCACCCACTGTCAAAAACAGTGGCGCCATCCTTCCAAGCCTAGAGATACCATGTGAGAATCTCATCTCAGCTAACTCTCTCAGTCTGTTTTACTTTTTTTCCCTGATTATTCCCTATTGTCTTTTTTTTTTTCTTGCATAGTGCTGATTCCCAAAGAAAAACCCCCAATAACTGTTGTGGGAGATGTAGGTGGACGAATTGCCATCATAGTGGTGAGTTCAAGATGATTTGAATGTATTCAGGGAGCTATTTTAAGTTTATCCGTCTTCTTAACCTTTTTTGTTTTGTTTTAGGATGACATCATTGACGATGTCGACAGTTTTCTAGCAGCAGCTGAAACTCTGAAAGAAAGAGGCGCCTACAAGATCTTTGTCATGGCTACACATGGAATCCTCTCCTCAGATGCCCCTCAGCTAATAGAGGAGTCCGCCATAGATGAGGTCATCATAACATCATTTTAATTTGAGGTTCAGAGTGACAAGTGTGTTGTCATGAACTGAATTCTGATGTCTGTCTGTATAGGTAGTTGTCACCAACACCATTCCACACGAGATCCAAAAACTCCAGTGTCCCAAAATAAAGACGGTGGATATCAGCATGATCCTGTCAGAAGCCATTCGCCGCATCCACAATGGAGAATCCATGTCTTACCTTTTTCGTAATATAGGCATGGATGATTAGCAGGGTCATGTGAAGTCAGTCTTGACATGTGCACAGAGGTCAAGACTTTTTCTCTCCCTATTGCCTGTATCATTAACCATTTTTCCTTCTGTCGCCCATTATAACTGCTTCACCTCGTTGTATGTGTAATATTTTGAAATAATAATTGTACGTTCAAAGAACCGGGATGTTCTGCGATGCTACATGTTTTCAGTGTCCTAAAATGCTGATGTCAAAGCGTTTAGAGGTTTGAAGTGCAGGAATACTCAACCTCTTGATCTGAAATGTTGGCACTTTTATATGAATTTGAAGTACTGGATTTAAAAGAAGGACCACTGGATGTTCAAATTACCTCTTCGGTTCTTTTTAGCCGTAAATCTTCTGTCTTTGCTTCTATCGTTTTTTTTATAATTGGAGAATGGACGACTCCACTTTGTGGCCAACAATTACAAAATGGTACCATAATATATAAAATCTATGTTGTGACATATCAGTGTCAGTGCCTCATGACTTGTGTAATTATTGTGCCACAAGTAGTTTTTGTGTTTCTGTCTGGTAATGCTAAGTAGTGCTGATGTTAAATTCAAGAATTACTTTGTACAAGGCAAAGGTACATGCATAGACCTCAATATAGCCCTTAAGATCGAAACTAATGTACTTGATTGAATGTGCCCCCCCCTCCCCTCCCCTCCCCTCGATTCTTCTACTAACACTTTAACTTGAGAGCCTATTTCTTTTTAAGCATCTTTGCTTCATAAATGTTTGATCATAGAGGCCAGAATTTCTAAATATATTGCCTCTAAGACCTTGTCTTCTCATTTTCAAATGAAATGCAGGGGTTTTGTTATGTAACTAATATTTAAGGCTTTTGTATTTATTCACAGCACTTGATGACAATAAATAAACAAAGACTATATGTGTCATATGTGTACAGTGTTTAGTTAACGATCCACCCTTTTCTCATGCCAGCTGAGATAAGATTGACAACTAGGTTGGCAGAACTAGAGTTTCAAATTTATTGTACCATGCTACTCTATGCTATGCACTAGCTTTTGAGATCTGCCTTAAATTGGTTAAACTAAGTTTACTTCTAAGTTCACCAATATAATTAGCCAACAGAGGGCAGTCAACACTTCACAGAAATCCCTAAACAAATTATTTGGTAACACTTTAGAATATTCTTTCTTACTTACTGCATAACTATTAAGGAATTACTGAAGAACTAATATGTTATTCTTTATTAACACTTAAGTCACTACTGTTAACTACTAAGGAAGAGGTGTTAACTAATCAGTATGTAATAGAATTTTATGATTGTATTAAGTATCAGTTAGTAAAACTAATGAATTCTGTAATACCTCCCGAAGAACTACTATGATCTATTAATTAGGTTCAAGAAAAATAACTATTCAGTAATGAACAATCCTACACTCACTACAATAATCCGTTTTTTTTTTTTTTTTTTTTTTTTTTTGCAGTGGAATGAGTGGTGGTTATTTAATCTATAAAATCATTACTGTGCTGTAAATCATTTTATTTTATGCAAGGCAACATGAAAACGCCGGATCCTGCATAAAACAAATTATGTTATTTTTAAAGATACTAAATCTATTTACATCCGATGTTAAAATATGTTCTCAGAGCTGTGCACTGTTGGCTTATGCTTATGGGCAGGTTATGGAGTCGGCAATGAGTGAAACGCAGGGCGGCGGTCTGAAGTTAAGCAGTTTCCCCGCCAAACACAAGCCCAGCTCCCGCAGGAGATCCAGCACCACTACTGAGGAAACGGGAGAACAAAGACAGGTTCATTTGACTTGAATTGCTTTTAAAAGTTTAACTTTTGATTCTAAAATGTTTGTTAAACGAGTTTAAATGTAGGCAGTATTGTACATGTTGAAACGAAATAAAATATGCTGTATTATAAGAAATGTTCTCATCTGAAATAAAGGAAGATATCATGTAGCCTAAAGCTAAACGAGCCTTGTCGTGTAACTTATTTTACAAAGGTTTAGATGATTACGTTAATAGTGGGGGTTTTTTTTACAGTAAGTTTGATTTGAGTCAGAAGTATGGTCAATCTTTATTAATTACTAATGGGCATTTCTCAGATTAAGGGCCAAATTGGGTTGCTGCAATTTTTAAAATTAAAATCCCAAATTTGACTAATTGGTATACATCAAATGATCAGTCCTTAAGTCAGGTACAATGTTATGAGCTTGGTTGAGACCATAAGATAAGGGAATTTATGATTTTTTGCCATTTTTTTAAACTATGTCAAGTAGTGTCATTACCATCACATCATCGAATGTTATGTAAAAGAATAAAACTTAAATGATAAATCAGTGCTTTTAAGACATTTTGTGGTTTCACATGGAATCTATTTTATCTTGAACTTAATGGGATTGTTGATTTTTACTTGCAAGATGAATTATAGTCACTTAAGTGTCTACATTTCTGATTCATCAATCTACCCTGGCTTGGAATATAAGCTTATTTTAAGTGAATGCCATATATCAAAACTTTTTTAATACAGTGATAATTTAGAGTTAGACTGTCCAACTTTGTCAGAAATATATAATTGTATGATGTTTTTGTAATTTATACATCATTTATTGGCAAAAATATGTATGGTAATGGTGATGGTGATGACATTGCAGTTCTGGTAATGACAGTTTGTTGCGGTGATGACAAATCACTGATCATAACCTACTGTAATTTAAGAGCCTAAGTGACTTCAGACCAAAAGAAAAAACACACCAGCTATTAATTGGTTTAAACATCATAGTTTAATCTGATTATGTAAGACCAAACATGAACTGTGTATCTGCCGTCATCACCACCACAACCTGTCATTACCAGCACAAGCTGTAATGTGCTGGTAATGACTGTGCTGGGAATGACAATTTAGTAAAAAAACTAGCCTTGCTAGCAAAGATGATGACTAAGCAAGTGTAGCTAGCTTTCTACATGTAATGTACACTTTTTTAACTAATAAAGTGATAAAAATAATCCAAAAATGTTTAAAAATACAGAAATACAACACATATGGTAATGACGCATAATAAGTGTACATGCCCAACACAAAGAATAAAGAGTAGATTTATTACTTTTCTGGACATCAAGGCATCAGTCTTGCAGCTTGAAATCCATGTGCTCCACTATGCAATTATTAGGTTACCATGGCTACCAAATAAACCTTTGATGAAAAAAACTGTTAAAAAGTGCCTTTATGCAGAGCGTGTTGGTAATGACAGCTAAACCATGGACAGGTAGAAATTAAGCAAAATAAAGTACAAAATGCATATATATGCTTAATCTGTGCATGTAGTTTGTTAGTTCAGGTATAACATTTAATTCATATGCATATTTTTTTTAATTAATTTGTGATAAATAATGTTTGAGATTTGTTACGACAAGTGAAAACTCTGGTGGCGGACAACACCAAAACACAGATATTGTACCACAAAACACCAATAAAATGTGTTAAAATCATTAGTAAGAGCAGCCATAAAATAAGTCTAGGCTTGTTTTTGTTTATACTAATTAGTGGTGCTAAAATGTATTAGATTGAATTAGTTTTTAATAGAATTACGCCCTCAGGACAGAAATAGGCCCGAATTCTGGGAAATACCCAATGTGTTCCCTATATTTTCACTTTAGAATACTGTTTCAGGTTCTAAGTAATTCCTGCAGAATTATTTGATAATTATTTATTAATTACTAAGTTCCCTATTTTCCCTACATCTCAGTAGTTACCTTAAATAGGCCTACACGAATTTACTCAATGGCATTCTATGCTGAGGAAAACAGACAGACACAGTACTGTATATAAAATATAAAAACTAATCTGAGGTTAGTTATGGCAAGGCACTTGAGTGGGGTTCCTTTCTGAAGTTGATTTCTTACAGAACACTCACAAAACCACACAGGCAAAAACATAATACTACTTCTATTAATAACATTAGTAAATAAGAACGGTCACAACTCAATCTAGTTCTGTATGACTGTGGATTAGTTAGTTATTTTTCTTGAACCTTAATTAGTAGATAAAGTAGTAGTTCTTCTGGAGGTATGACAGAATTCATTATTAGTTATTGATTAAATGACTGTTACTTAACACAATCATAAAATTCTATTACATACTGATTAGTTAACACATCTTACTTAGTTAACTTAACAGTAGTGAAGAAGTAATTAATGAAGAATTACCTATTAGTTCTTCAATAATTCCTTATTAGTTATGCAGTAAGTAAAACCCGTATTCTAAAGTGTTACCATTTTATTTTACAGTATGCTAGCAACACCAAGGTCATAGGTTTGGTTTTATGGAGTGCACAAACTGTATAGCTTGAATGCATTTTAAGAAAGATTTGGAGAAAATCCTCTCCCAAATGCATAAATTATGCTGGTGAATTTGATTAGCTGTTCAATAGGCAGAACCCTTATCCAGTAGTAACTTGGATTTGTTTATTAAAGGAAAGATGGGGTTTTAAAGGGATAAAGAAGATTCCCTACGGTTCAATTCATTTCATTAAATGACACAGATAAGCAGAGTTAGACGATATAGACTGTTCCTGTTTGAATAATGACTCTAGCACCCTGAGGGCAGAAGATACTTCTGTCATGGATATGGCAAAGACTCTGCTTCAGCAAAAACGTCTGTAATGGGAAGTACCGCTCTACAAAGCTTAAGATGTATGACCCAAGTAATCTTGCGGCTAGTTTCACAGGGAAGTAAAAAATCCTGATATTTCCTCTTTTCCTGCAAATACTTCTTATAGAGATATTTTTAACTAAGCTGGGCAGCAAACGATTGTTCTTTATGTCTGTATTTAGTGAGTGACAAGTCTTGAGTTGCCCACAAATCCTTGCTCAAACCTAGCCCCTTCAAAGGGATAGTTCAGTCAAAAAAAGAATTTATGTTATTCACTCACCCTCATGTTTTACAAACTTGTATGACTTCCTTCTTCTGTAAAACATAAAAGATGATGATTCGAAAAAATATCCCAGTGATTTTTTGTCCATACAATGAAAGTCTGTTGATTTGGACCCTATTGAATTACATACATTCTGATGACTGAATTGAACTATCCCTTTAAGAAAATCTAAACTTTGTGGTTAGCAAAACAAACTGCAACTGCACCATTACTAAACTGGCAGGAACACATTATGATCATGAACAATTATAAGCATTCTTAGGTTAGGTGTGAGGTATGGTGATGCTCTTCTTTATGAAATGGCGTCTCAAGTAGGCCTTTGCCAAATTAACTGCTTATATGGCCCTTATTTGCCTGCTCTGTAACCATAAAACTGATGTAGACTTTATTGGAAATATATTTGGATGACTAATCTAACTTCCATGTAAATTACCCAGCAAAGGTTCCTAGAGTTATGGCCTTAACACTTTGTAACACTGTACAGTCTGCCACAGAAGAGAAGACCTGTCAACAAAAGCAAATTACTGAGAAATTTTTTTAGACTTACTGATATTTAAATTAAAACCCGTTACCAGTCAGTCGAAAGTATCATTCATTCTTCTTGATGGCTAGTTTGTTTACAACAAGAAGGTCTTTATTACATGGAGTAAGATATCTGTTAGCATTAGCATCCTTATCATCTCAGTGGCAGTTGCTTGTCTGGTCCATCTTTGCACGTGGGCTCTTAGTTCTGCACACAACTGTTTTTCACTTGAACTATAAATTATATATGATTAAATCTGGAGTTTCCGGAAAATTACATTACGATAAAGATGGTGGCTGACACCACAAGAACACTGACAGTCCCAGGCCACCTAAGAATAACTTAAAAAGTAGCCAAACTGAATGAGGTTATGGTGTGTAATCATGTTTGAAGCTGCTTCAATAAGTAGCAACGATTGGTAAAGCGTCTTCATATAATTAAATAAAAGAATAAAGTCCAGCCGTAATCAAGTGAACTCGAAGGTCTGTTTCAATAATTCAATAAATGCGTGTGCACAGTCTGGGGATTTCTAATCTTCAAAAGTCTGGAGGTTTTTTTTACCTCAATCTAAATGAGTAACACTCATATCCATTTCCTTTAGTATACCAATTAACTAAAATCAGCCCATAAAAGAATCAGGAAATAACATGTAATGCAAATGGTGAACTATATGTGATGATTTAATGAGGCCCATAATTGATCATTTACAATAAATTGAATTTAAGAAAAATAAAGGATTTACATATTAATAGCTTTAGGGACAATCATAAAGCTTTATCTAAAAGTCTGTGTCTGCAATTTACATAAAACCTTCACTTTAGAAAAACCTGTTTGTATAGGGAAAACCCTGTTAGCTTGAGTGCATTGTAGGAGGGCGAAATTCTGTTTGCTAATTGGGATGAATAAAACAACTCAATTAACTAAATACTAAAATAACATAGTGGCTTTTTGATTTCTATTGAACATCATTACATTTATGAAGTCAGTATGCAACCGTGAATTCGAACTGCACTTTGTTCCCTTATTCTAGTTGCTTGGTGGAGACCCTTTAAACGCCTGCTTCTTTACTTGTCCTGGACATAAAATTCCAGAAGAAGAGCAGCTATATTTTGTAATGGATGCAGAACGTTTCCTGGAAACGTTTGGCTGGTCTGACTGCCTGATCCTAGGTGCAATCAGCTGGACCTGAGGCTGTTTTTGGGGAGAGATGGGACTGTTTGGTGAGGGGACTGTCCGAGGGGGTCTCTGGGGAATTAGTGTTGACCTAACTGGAGCAATTCCTCCTGTGGACAATTCTTCAGGAGATGGAAATAATGTAAGGCTGGGCTTATTTTGCCCCAGTGGTTTTCCAAGTGATGGCAGCTTGCTATGCAAGCCAGCTTTAGGAGCTTGCAGCCCGAATGAGCGAGTGTCTGCTTTGCTGATGGTTAACTTAGTTAACCCTCCTCTTGCTTGAATAGGAATTCTGGATGATTTTTGATGTGGTTGCTAGGATGAAGAACATAACATTTTAAATTATATTACCTTCAATGCAGTTCTCCAAATTGATTTCTAATTGAACTAGTGCTTGCTTTTTGATAGTAATACTGTAAGAAATTCTTACCTTCCTAACCAGACACTCCAGCTTGGATTTAGCCTCCGGCAGGATCTTGTTCATTTGATTTGTACAAATATGTTCCCCTTCTTGTTTCTCCTCAACCAGAGCTGTTGGGTGGCATGTTTCCTTCTCATTCCTACTGTAAACATCATGACCAACCTTATTTTCTTTACGTTTTCTATCATTTGCCGTTTTTGGTTCTATAGGCTCTGTTTTGCTGAACTTTGTTTCTTTGCTCAGTGCAGCTCTTGGTCTTATGGGATCAGAACTGTTCCGCTCTGTCTCTTGGGGGTCCGAATCCTCTAATATCAACAGCTCAATGGTTTCAAACTGTTCTGGCAGCTTCTCTTGAGGATTGTGCTCCTCAGAGTTTATCTTTAACACCGCTGGACTGGCCTCATCATTCTGCAGCCTTAAGTGTTCTTCAGATTTGAGGTTGGGTGGATGATTTGATCCAGAATCTAAATAAGTCATTGGATTTTGCAGTTCTTCACTCTTAGGCAACTCTACAGACTTTGTTATCCTGGTCTCCTCTGGAATTACAGAAGTTATATCTGCTTTAACTTGCAGTATTGAGCTTCTAGATTCACTGCCTGTTGCCAAATGCGGTTTGCTGATAGCATTCAATTCTGAAGGTTTGAGTATTAAATCTGGACTTTCCTCGGACTGTGGGTCCTGTTGTGGCGGTATAGTAGTTGTCTCGGGTAATTGTGCAGATTGTCCCTCACATATTAAATCTAGACTTACCTCAGGTTGTAAATCCTGCAGTTGCAGTTTTGCAGTTTTCTCAGCTAACTTTACAGACCGTCCCACACAGTTTACATCTCGACTTACCTCAGATTCTAAGTCCTGACGATAAAGTTTTGGATTTTTCTCAGCTAACTGTATAAACTTTCCCTGACATATTAAATCCAGACTTATGTCAGATTGTAAGTCTCGTAGTGATTCCTCACACACTAAATCTAGACTTGCATCAAGTTTTAAGTCTTGCATTGGCTCTTTTTTGACTTTCTCAGATAACTCTACAGATTCTGCCTTGTTCTGTATCTCTAATTTCTCCTGAGATGCACTTATCTTATGTTCTTGTAAACAGTTACTCATTGATTTGCTCTCTACTACTGGCTCTGAGGTAACTTCAGACACTTGTTTTTTGTGTCTGTGATTTTTCTTATTCAGTTGAGTTTGAGTAATATCCTCAGACCCTAAAACTGCCTTAATTTCATCTGCCACTAGGTGACTGTCAGTTGTTATTTCTAGTATGTGTTGAAATTCAGGCTGCTCCTGTCCAGAATCCATTTCAGGTTCATCTTTTTCTTTCATGCTCTGACAGCTTACCTCAAATAGTTTCTCTGCTTCCAGTACGGGCTTCAGTATTTCCAGAGGTTTATTCAGGCTGAAGTTCTCAACTGAGCTTGGTTTCTCATGATCCATACCATGAATATCTGGATTCAAACCCAGTGTGTCATTGCATTCAAAGTATTCCTCTGAAGTTGAAGAGAAGTTGAAGCAACCATTAGGAGTCTGTGAGAAATAGCGGATTTCACTATCTTTGACTGGTAGTCTACTATCATTTCTTGTGATAACTTTGTCACTTTCTTGGGCAAAGGTGGTTTCGGAAGTTGCAGTTGTTGTTTTGAACTCTGTAGATAAGAAGTTGAAGACAATACTGCAAGAGGTTTTCAAAAGTTTTGGAGTAAACAAGGTCTGTTTAGTATCCAAATCTGTACAATCTTGAGTTGAGGATGAATTTGAACAAGGAAATTCCTGCTCTTGATGATCATTTCTGATTGGATTATGCAAAGATTCTTGTGTTTTTTCAGCCACAAAAAAATCTCCTAAAGACCTTAAGTCAGCAACAGGGCTAAAACAATCATAGTATACATCAGACAATGAAGAGATGCTGGAGTCACAGTTAGACATTTGTGTACCATTACAGCCATTTTGGTTTGTCTCTGGTTTTGTATATCTGTGTTCTTGAGTGGCAACATCAATTAAGACTTGGTCATCAAGGCTTTGCTTAACAAAAGGGGTGTCTGGGATTGCAAATAAGTCACAATGAGTTTTGTTGTACACTCCTGATGATGATTTAATGTCAAGATCCTCAGAGGTTTGAGCAGGACATTTCAGAGGTTGTGGAGTAACCACGGTTTGCTTTGTATCTGAGACTCTATCGTCTTGAGTAAAAGACACATTCGGAATTGCATTGGGAAAGTGTTTTTCAGAGTGAATGTTTTTACTCTGCAAAGATGTAGAGATGTCAAAGATGTCTTTTTCCATTACACATAGTTCATCTTTATCAACTTGATGACAGGCAAGCACCTGCAGAGTTTCTGGCTTTTCCACAGGCAAGATAAGATCCTCACTCCGGCTGCTTGTTTGATGTTGATTTTGATCAAAATTCTTCTGAGCTTCTCCTGATGTTTGATTCTGTGCTGGAGCTTCAGGATCAGAGGGAGTTTGGGATATGGGTCCAGGACAAGCCCTTAGATATATAGACTCCTTTGGCTCATGAAAAGGATCCTTGAATCGGATGGCTTGAGACACTTCAAAGAGCTCTGAGCGCATTAGGTGAGCTTGCAATGGCTTGTTGGAGTCTCTTATGTTAATGAAACCAATGACATCACTCGTTGGGTCAGGATCAGGCCAGGTCGGCACATAATTGATCATGTTCGCCTTTCCCAAGTTTAGAAGTCCCGGGTGAACAGATGGCACCACTGGGGAGTCTTTGATTTGTTTGATGACTTCTGTCTGATTCTTGGAAATGTTGTTCTTGGCACTTGTCTGGTCAGATATAGGTCCATTGGTAGTGAAAGCACAGTTAAAGACCAGAGTGTATTTTGGGTTAATGAGCTTGAGTGCCTTGGTTGCTGAGGGAAGTAGAGTTGGTACCGCCTGAGGGAGGAACTCAGGTTCAGGCTCACTGCTCAGATTAATCTTGCTCAAGCACACTCCATTAGACATCACATACATGTCCTGAAACAATGCGTCAAATGTGTCGACTGCTTGGCCAGAGAGAACAGTGATGATGTTTCTGTCCAATCTAGAGGCAGACCATGTGAAACTGAAAATAATGAAAACCTTTTTTTATTTTTTTTATTATGTATATTATGGATGTATTTAGCTAATTGAATAATAAATTAGGTTAAGTCTAACCTTGTTAAACTGGGTTGACCAGACTTACCTATATGACCCTGAGACTGCTTTGTCTCCGTCAATAAACATGAACTTCTGGCTTTGGCTTCCACACACTCTCTTTGAGGATCGACTGAAAAATTGTGCCCCTCTGATGTTACGCACTCTCAAGTTCTGATGGCAGAAGAGAGTTCAGCATGTTTGGTTAATGCGTGGATGAAAAAAATATCCACAACTAAAAGAACTTCTCTCATAATAGCAACTTAATACAAAATGTATACAAAAGTCAGACAAATATTGTATTAGGGTATAACAGAAATGATCTACAAACAGCGTTTTATGTGTACCATGAGGGATATTTGAAGGTATAGGTAAAAAATGGCATTTATTTTTTAGACATAGGCTGTTCACACTGTAATTTTTGGGATTTGACAACCGCATTTACTTACAGGTGTGAGTCTCGAAATGTCACATTCAAACAGAAACTTACAGTAGCATCTCGAATACCGTCTGTATGAACGTGTGACAGGAGTCACACAGTAATATAAAAGATGGTGACATCCATAAAACTGAAAAGTCTTATCACTTATGACACGACAAGAGTCCAATTCAGCGGCGAGTTCATCCATCAAACCTTCATTAACTGACAGCAGCTTTTATGTCGGGGTGGAGAGCGGAGCATTTGAGTCACGCGTAGAACATAAAAATGACGGTAGCTCCGGTGGAGAACAGTGACTTGATCTGAAACCTTCAGATGACACACAGCTCATATCTCCATCAGTATAAGTAACCGAAAGGGAAACCACACATGAAAATGAGCAACACATGGTAGAAGCACGTTTGTGCATCGCAGAGCAGCTCTCTCACACTGTATGACGTGATAGACAACTAGTTGTCCAGTACGGATCTGTTCACACAGCGGAGGTTTTCCGAGAATGCATTTGTGAGTCCTGAAATTGTACAGATGTGAGTTCAGTTATAGAATCCGGTTGTCACTCTCCGTAAATAACCGTACTGTGTATGAACGTGACCGTATTAAGGACTCAAATACAGGACTGACAACCGTATTCTGATGCTGTGTGAATGTGGCCATAGTTTCTGAGACACTGTAGCCTATGTTTGACTTGGTTTCATCAATGACAGACTATTAGTATGATCACATTAGCAAGTAAACACACAACAAGGACTAATTTTCGTTTATGTCACATCTCTGTAATGTTTTCACACTTATGCACATTGATGCTAATGCTGAAACGAGCCTTTTGTATCATGCCTTTATCACTATTCACATTCCAGTATTTAAATTTCCTGTTTGCTGTTGGGTTTGTGGTGCCTTTAGGTGATACACAGACAAAAGCTAATATCTCAAATATTCAGGTCAACCGATTCACATATAAAATTCTGTAATAGAACAGAAGTAAAAATATGTGTAAAAATGATTGGTATGAACACTATACACATTATTCTAATAAATCCATTACTATCACTGATACAGTATAAGATTTTATGTTATTTCAAAAATGTGTTGCAAAATTATATCATTAGCAGAAATCTGCTTCAGTCTCAAAATAAGACCATCAAGAGTCATAAGCGCTCACAGTTGCCTCAGGCGGTTTAGAAAATTAGACTTTCTGATTTGGAGAACTTAAGTTATCTCTCGGTTGTTTCTACTCATTAAACTGCAGGCGTTTAATAATATGTTTCTTTTCCGCTAATACATATTTAATCTTAAATTGTCGGTCAAATGATTTTCTAATATTAATTGTGACATGCCTTGAGGTGTCCAGTGTGCATGCCTGCTTTCTCACACATTTTCAGAAAATGCTTTACTCCGGTGGCCTCCAGCATAATGTACACAGCAACCTTCCGCTTGTAGCTTGCATCCAGTAGATCTTTGAAGATGTCAATATCTGTAAACAAGTCCATGACAATTGCAATAACCTGCAAAAGGGACAAGCATTAATGAAAACACAAGAACTTTGAGATAAAAAAAAAGACAGCACATTGTAATATATCTGTCAAAAACACACTGTAATCCAAATATTAATTCATGCAAATAAAACTGTGCACACAGATGAAAAACTGGACATTCTTAAAAAATGTATTCAAAGTAACCTAATCACAACAGCAGATTTGGAAAAGTGCATGGGACACTGTGAGGACTATCCCAAATAGAAGCTGTAGGGTCCAATCATGTATTTTCTTTATTACAAATTATATTATCAGTATACTAATTTGTGATAAGAAAAAAGAGGCAAGATCTGACAAAACATAGTTTATTTAAATTAGATTGAGAATGTCAAATTTTCAATGTGAACTGTGCACAAATAAAATTTAGTTTTGTTTATTTAATTGTTATTATTGATTCGCCTATATTATCATTTACTTAATATGTGTATCGTTTTATGAAGTGTTTTAAAATGTCACTTTATTATTCTAAAAGTCAAAGTTTCAGAAGGTACCCAGCCTTATGACGCAGAGGGCTGATAATGACATAAGCCTGTTTTATGAGATTGAGCACACGTGTAGATCTCTACATGTTCACTGGACTTTGATCAGTGTCTTATTCACCAGAGGTGAGTCACAACAAAAATCACAAAATCATATATATAACTATTATCCACTACCTACCCTCTGTGCTTGGCCGATAATTTTTCTAACGACCTCTTTAATATGTGGCTGACCCTCATAAGGGGGTTGAGTGTACACTTGGACACGCGTCACTCCGCGGTAGGACACCCGGTCCAGCCACCCGATGTCCAGCTGTGGGATCGAGCAGTCCGAGCGGTCGGGCCAGTACTGCAGGGAAAGCTCTTCCCCATCACTTTCCCCGTACAGTTCAGCGTTATTGTCGTGGGAACCCGGGCTATACACCTCCACAGTGTTGAGAATCCTCTCAAGTTCAAGGTCCGATAGAAAGCAGCGAATGTTCTTTGTTTTGATGTAGTCCTCAAAGGCGTCCTGTCCGTCATGTATGAGTGTCTCCAGCGCGATCCTCTGTTCCTCGCTGTAAAAGAACTCCGGCTTGGACTCGTTAGTGCGCAAGTTGATGTGATTGTCATCAAGGCACTGAACCTGTGACAGTGCCATTACTTGAACTCAGCGTTATTTTTAACAGCATTTAAAATGCTTTTGCGTAGGTAGGCTATAATTTTGTAATTAAAAAAGTTTAGTTCAACTATTTTAACCAACAATGTTAAATAAATATTATATACAAAAACTAAGCCACGCGCTCTCTCCGCTTCTGCTCATAGTTGATCCTGTCAAGAGTATGAATGTGTGTTCAGTACTTCACGCACAGATGCAAGTACAGGTAAGCGCGAACACCTCAGTCACGTGACTGACTATCAACCAATTGTAAAAGAAGCCCAACAAGCTTTATGGTGTTACTAATCGTCGTTTAGTAGTGGGAAGTTTTCTACGCCAGTTTGAAGGTAAAATGATCAGCTATGTCGTGCAATACTTGTAAATATACGTTTATTATTTTTAATTTGAGTCTTAGTATCTAATTGTAAAATTATTATTATTTTTTAATTATTTTAAATGACACAGAAAGCCTGTGGTTCAGTCATATGATGCATTTCAGAACTTGCTGCCCTCTGATTGTTCTGAAACCATCAAAAAGACATGAAAGTGCTTCATATAGGCCCAGTTATTTAAAACATGGGCCATTGTATAAATAATTCATATTTATATTTGTATTCTAATGTATGCTTATGTCAATAAAAACATGCGTTGTTTAATAAGGACTACAGCTACAGCAAGGATGATAGTTTACATTTAATTAGAAATTGTCGCCCATTGCAACTTACATTTTTAAAAGCACACTTTGGTTTAAAAATTCACATCTGGTGTATGATTGTGTGTAATTTATGTTGTAAAAAAGTGAAATTAACCACCTTGTTCTACTCATAAAACTATTCTCTTTACTCACAAAATGTCTCCCCTGGGTCTCTATCTACTAATGTCTCCTTAGGACTCTATTTGACTTTGCAGCACATCAGATTTTGAAATAATGGAAGACGAAAACTTCTTGAACGAGCTTATAATTTCATATCAATTTAGTAATTTCATGGCTTGATCCAATAGCCATTTTGTGCCCAAACTGAAGATTATTGACATGTGCATATACGAACTCGTTTATATTCAGTCATTATAATGCTAACATTTACATCATCAAAAGACATCAACAAAACAACATACACAGAAAAATTGATTGAAGAAATGTTTGAGCTAATATCCAAATTTGTAAGCAAAGTGCAGTGAAGAGATTGTATTAATATACAATTCAAAATCTATATATGCATTTTAATACACTTGAATGGATATTATTTTTTGTACAGTGATGCTGGATAATTTGGCGGCTTTTATCCTATAAAGCTGAAATGTGTCATCTTAGTGTCAACAGCATGATTACGTTTTAGTAACTGTCCATTTCGGTATGTTTGCGTGTTCCAAAGTCATTTTCAAACACACTTAGCTTGATGATTCCTGTCGTATTAAACCAATGAAAGATGCTAACAATCGACTACTGCTATGTACACACAGTGTTGTTATTGTCCTTCAGAGTCAGTGAGTCAGCTGGACGTACTCAGGGGGGAAAAAGCCCACACGTCCACGGCAACGACCTTTCCAGCGTTGAGAATCTGAGCAGTCCAGCAGGTCTATGACATCACCCCGCAGGAAGTGCAGCTGGGAGTTGAGCTCTGGATTGAAGTCAAACAGGGCATGTGCGTGATGGGGCCACTGATGGGAAACAATAACAGACAAAGGTCATTATTGCTGTGCCTACCTTCACATTTTCCACATTTAGGTCCTTTTTTTTTTTTACTGTCATACTTTATGTGCCTCACTATTATGATGACACCTGATATAGTTTCATTACTGATTAGTGTGTTTTTCCTGTGTGGATTACATGTCATTTGGATAAATGGCAATCGGATATAAATTATTATTATTATAAATGTAATGGTAACTCTTTACAATAAGGTTCATTAGTTAACATTAGTTAACTACATTAATTAGCATGAACTAATAATGAACTGTACTTATACAGCATTTGTTAATCTTGGTTAATTTCAACATTTACTAATACATTATTAAAATCTTGTTAACATTAGTTAATGCACTGTGAACTAACATGAACAAACAATGATTGACTGTATTTTTATTAACTAACTTTAACAAAGATTAACAAATACAATAACAAATGTATTAGTTAATACATAATGTTAACTAATGAACCTTATTGTAAAGTATTACCAATTTAATTTGCAATGCATCCTTGAAAGTCTAAACATGCTTCACTTCAAGTAATCACTTCTTACACCTATGTGCTGCTCACAAATCTGAATACCAATGTTTTTACACATTTGCTGTCTTTTCCCATTAAACCAATATTTTCTTGCTCTTTGGTGAAAAAACAAAAACAAATGCTGTTTAAAATCCGGCTTTCATTTTAGAAGCATTTAAGTATGACATTTTAATTGCTGTTGGCAAAATGTTAGTACCCAGTACAAAATATTTTCATAAGAATAATATAAGTGTTGTCTTACCTTTAGTGCATCTTCTGTATCCCTCAGAAACACAGTCCTTTCCCTTGCAATGCTGTTGGTCTTGTAGAATTCCACAAGCTGATTTAAGGAAGGGAAGATCTCCTCCCAAATAAAGTAATAGCCATCTCTATCCTTTAACACCTTGAAATGCTGTACGTGATCCCCATAGCTGGTAAGAAGAGACCAAGATTCAAAATAAACACACGGCACTACAGAATAAGCCCTCATATCTTGCAGTGACACTTCTGTGCCACTAGTGGCCACAAATGGAATTGCAATAATGACTGTTTCCAAACAGGTTTTCCAAAGCATTGTTGTTTTAGTTTGTTTATATCATAGTATTTAATACTATTTTGATTCCGCTTTTATTTTATTATTAGCTTTTAGTAATTGCTTTGTAATTCCATTTTGAGCAATGCTGAAATTACCTGTACAATAAAATTCATAAAAAAAATTTAACGAATCAAACTAAATATAGGCTATAACCATTTGGCAATGCTTAAAACAAAACACACACTTTCAAACCAAAACATTTCACAGGAAGAATTTGCTGGGGTTTTTTTTAACCCTGTATCAGGGTCATGATACAGGTTCAAAACCGTAAGGACCGTACAATTGGCTGTGTTGTTGTCTTTTGTCGCGTCGCATTGCACCGCTCGCGTCCGCTGTATACACATGCTGTTAAACATCCGCTCTTATTTTTACATTTTTGAATCTGTAAACAGCTGTACTCGGTGCAGGCCAAACATTTCACAACAATTAGTCAGCATGTCTTAAAAAAGTTTAGATGTGTCTTTGGTTGTGTTAGGTTAGAAAGCTCCTTGATGTCCTTAAGAGACTCTGCAAATATACTTTTCAAAGCTGTGAGAACATATAAATAATTCAGCATTTGAAACACAGCAAACTTTGTTCTTTCAACTGTATGACAAAGGCATGTATAAAGACTAATTGAGCTTCATGAATATTAATAAGATATCTTGAAATTTCAAAGGAAAGTAGATCAAAGGTAAAAGCATGAGTCATCTCATCTCATTTTTGTGTGCTCACAATGATACACATCTCTCTGCTTTCTGGAGCGATCAAATTCATTTGTCACTTAGTTTACCTGCAAAAAAAAAAAAAGTAAAAACCATAATGTTGGAGAGCTTGTTTTTTAATAACCCTAAAAAGCTTGTGACTGTCAATGTGAACTACTGTACTTCCTCAAAAGCTTCCTGAACGTCAGAGGATGGATGCTTCATCATTCAGTGCTATTGAAGGGCTGATTTAACTAGTCACAAGCACACTCTTGAATTGAGTCACAAGTCCAGCTAAATTAGGTTGTTTTAACAGAAATAAAGTCTGATTATTAACAAGTGCAGATTATTTCCCATGTAATGCTTTATACACAAATTAAAAGCATATAAGAAGCTGTGTTTAGTTTTCTTGTGAGTCATGCCACTAATGGCCTGAAGGTTTCTATGCATGAAGAGGAGGTTGAGGACAGAAACAGTACTTAAATATAGATGGACATGAGTTGGTGGTTCATCAGCAGATCCTGTCATATCTCTCAGCCATCAGTGTCATTAACAATGACCTACATTCAGTGCTTAAATCTTCAGTGCTGTTGTGGTTTGTAGCAAGGCAGGTACATCTCGCATGTGTTGAGGTAACAGCAAATGACTGTGGTATGTTGCATGGTCTTCAGTTTACTGCTGTAACAAAGCTGTTTTATTTGAATATCTCTGTGATTGAAAGTTAAATGATTTTATCTAGGGAACAGCCCAGTTGCAATTTTAGCTCCCCAATGCAGGATTACCTGCTTGCTGGCATTCTCTCCGTTCACTGAAGATGATTGACAGGCTGAACTACTCTCTGTTTTGACCCTTAAGCAACATAATGAAACCACTCTGTCAGAAAAACATTATTGTTATAAGTTAACAAGTGGTTGCTAGGATGTTCTGGATAATTACTAAGGTGTTGCTAGGGTGTTACTGCATGCAAGTCTTGTGACTGCAGAGGTGTTCTAGGTATTTTTAGCATGTTGATAAGAGGTAGGTTGCAATTTTATTGCATTGCTAGTTTTTTATTGTCAGCCAGGCATGAAAATAGCACACATCTCAACAAGACCCATGTTTTTGGGTATCATTTATGTCTGTATTACAAACAGTGAGGTACAAGTTGCACTTAGGAGGAAGAGTTTAATACTTAGTATTAGGGGGTTGGTTTAAGGATGTTTGCTTTAGCAATGTGAACAAATATATATTGATGGCAATGATCCATTCAAGCCATCCAAGCTTTGAGTTACTCAGTGTCACATTTAAAGACAGACAGATACTAGACATTTCACAGCTGAGTTATCATCCTTTCATCTTCATTTGGCCAAGTGGAGTGACTAGGCCTGTGGCACAGGGCCAGAATAGATACACAACACCTTCTAATTAGTACCAGGCCTTGGTGTTAACAGACCTGACTGATCCCCTGCAAACAGCAGAGGATGCCATCTTGTCTGGGAAAAGAAATGGCATCATTACTGCAGTCTTCAGTGTCACATGATCCTTCAGAAATTATAATATGATGATTTGCTGCTCAAGAAACATTTCTTATTATTTTCAAAATCCCTGGATATCTTCTTTAAAATCCTGGTGTTGTAATGTCTGTCTGTGTTCCCCCTGTCTTTGTGCTTTTGGTTCAGTCCTGTTCAGTTTTCCCGCTCCTCGTTTGTGTTCATGTATACCACGCCCCCTTGTTATCTTGTTTAGCTTGTTTGGCTCTGTATTTAAGCCCTGTGTTTCAGTCCAGTCTTTGTGAGTTCTTGTTGTTGTAACCTTGATGTTGGTGGTTCTGTTCCTGAGTCTTGTGCCCTAGCCTGAGTCTTTATGTAGTTTGAGTTTATTGAATAAAGTGTGCCGCAATTGGATCCTGCTTCCTCCTTGCTTCCACCTCCTCATAACAGAAGAACTCACCAAAAATGAATCCAGCAGCACAACTGATATGTCTCAGCCAAGGAGACCGACCGATTGAGGACTATGTGAGGGACTTTTTGGAGCTGGCTCACCTGTCTGGTATGGATGATTTGTGCCTAAAGATTTTTTTCGTGGAGGTCTTTCTGAGCCGCTCAGCTACCTGATGCCACTGCATGACCCAAACGGGTCTATTGAGCAGTATGTCGACCTGGCCCTTTTGCTGAGCGGTTCGGCATTTACTGTGGGCTTGGCTGATGAAGCACCCTGCCAGCTCACCGTCCAGCCAGAGACCGTCCAGCCAGAGACCGTCCACGTCACGTCTGCTCAGCCAGAGACCGTCCACGTCACGTCTGCCCAGCCAGAGACCGATCACGCCACACATGCGCCGCCTGAGCCCTCAGTGACCGCAACACTGGCCATTATGGCCACAGCCATGTGGTGTGTGTGGGCTACGCACACACTTGAGCCGGTGTCCGCTGATCCTGCGCCAGAGCCCGCTGATCCTGCGCCAGAGCCCGCTGATCCTGCGCCAGAGCCCGCTGATCCTGCGCCAGAGCCCGCTGATCCTGCGCCAGAGCCCGCTGATCCTGCGCCAGAGCCCGCTGATCCTGCGCCAGAGCCCGCTGATCCTGCGCCAGAGCCCGCTGATCCTGCGCCAGAGCCCGCTGATCCTGCGCCAGAGCCCGCTGATCCTGCGCCGGTGTCTGTTCCTGCTGATGACCCCATGGCTGCCCCTAAGAAAATTTTGGGGGGGGGCAGTAGGACCCTGGATGGGACTGTGAAGGCCGCACCGCCATGGCTGCCCGAAGGGTCTTCTCCGCCATGGCCGGCCGAAGGGTCCTCTCCACCATGGCCGGCCGAGGGGTCTTCACCGCCGTGGCCGCCCGAGGGGTCTTCACCGCCGTGGCCGCCCGAGGGGTCTTCACCGCCGTGGCCGCCCGAGGGGTCTTCACCGCCGTGGCCGCCCGAGGGGTCTGCTCCGCCCTGGACGCCCGAGGGTCCGACAGCTCCGCCCTGGACGCCCGAGGGTCCGACAGCTTCGCCCTGGACGCCCGAGGGTCCACAGCCTGCTCCGCCCTGGTCACGCCCACAGCCTGCTCCGCCGTGGCCTCGCCCTCAGCCTGCTCCATCGTGGACACGCCCACAGCCTGCTCCGCCCTGGCAGTCTGTTCGTCCAGCTCCGCCCATGTTCCATGGCCCAGGTCCGCCATCGCAAGACCCCGGTCCCGTTCCCTGCACGGACCTGGCCCTCCATCCCTCCCCCAGGACCGCCTCCGCTCCACCACCCTCCCGAACTATATTTCTAGTTTTGATGGGCGTCAGGAGCCGCCCATAGAGGGGGGGCTATGTTGTAATGTCTGTCTGTGTTCCCCCTGTCTTTGTGCTTTTGGTTCAGTCCTGTTCAGTTTTCCCGCTCCTCGTTTGTGTTCATGTATACCACGCCCCCTTGTTATCTTGTTTAGCTTGTTTGGCTCTGTATTTAAGCCCTGTGTTTCAGTCCAGTCTTTGTGAGTTCTTGTTGTTGTAACCTTGATGTTGGTGGTTCTGTTCCTGAGTCTTGTGCCCTAGCCTGAGTCTTTATGTAGTTTGAGTTTATTGAATAAAGTGTGCTGCAATTGGATCCTGCTTCCTCCTTGCTTCCACCTCCTCATAACACCTGGCATATATGGTCTCAGAGAAAAATGAAATATGCGGGAAGATGAGTGATGTGAAAAATAAAATAATGTGATCGACTGAGGTTTCTTGTAGTCTCGTCAAATGAACCTGCTTCAAACCTAGATGACATTGGACAATAATGCCCAAAGTCATCAAAGATTTACATTTTTAAAATCAAAGGCATTCCATGCATTGCATTGCTCATTTTGCACTATGACCTTGATTTGTCATTTAAAGGAATAGTTCACTTCAAAATGAAAATTCTGTCATTTACTCACCCTCAAGTTGTTTCAAACCTGTATTATTTTTTTTCCTACTATGGAGGTCAATGGGGTCCATCAACTGTCTGGTCACCGAAATTCTTTAAAATATCTTCCTTTGTGTTCAGCAGAAGAAAGAAATTCATACAGGTTTGAAACAACTTGAGGGTGAGTAAATGATGACAGAATTGATATTTCTACTATTCCCTTAACAGCGTTTACTTCTTAGACAGTCTGATTAGTAATCTGAATTGGCAGAGAGGGCTCTCTCAAGGAATGCATGGATAGAGAGTTTGTAGCTGCGTCACATATTAGCCCTGGACCTGCAGACCAGCTGCCAATTCCCCTTCTCGGTGTGTTTAATCTCACAATGTGCTTCCACACCTGAGGCCAGCCCTGCTCCAGACCGCAGCTCATTCCCGGGATCCCGGACAGGCTCTGCCATGCAAACCCAACTCAGCCATCAAGAAGTGGATGGTAAGGAGTCGGACAGAATAATAATGTGATCCCAGCGCGTTTGATGAATTTTAAATGAAATCTCTGCTCCGACGTAAATAGCTTTCTGATGCTCTCATTTTCAGACAACTTCATGGTACATTTTCTTAAGCAGAAGGGGATATTGGTGTCCTTTGCAAAGTAGGTCAGATGGGTTTTGATGGACCCTACAATCTTTCTTCTTCTTCAAATTCTAGTTATACTTTTATGAGGCGTGCAGCAAACAACAAATTACATCGACCCCCAGGAACAGCGTATAGAGCAGACTTGGTTATGCAGGTTGGGATGCGTCTTACCTCACTGACATAGAGAATTCTCCAGGTGCACTCTCACTTTCTCTTACTAAGAAGCTTCCCTGTTTCTCCTGGCGCAGTCGATTCTCGGCTACATTTCTGGAGATACGGCCCGCAAACCATCTGTGGGCGAGATAGAGGGGAACAACAGCACTATTAGTGATGCAGTTAACAGCTAGACAGGCCACATGTGTCTGGCTGTTTGCTGTCACATGATCCTTCAGAAATCATTCTAATATGCGGCTTTGGTGCTCAGTTATTAGTAATGGTTATTATTATCAGTGTTGAAAAGTTTTTGTTGCTTGATATGTTTGTGGGAAACACATATACTAATAGGAGATTTAGGATATGTGTGTATACGGTAGTGTATACGGTATAAACTGACATACTGTAGAGCTATAAATTAAGAATTTGATGAGAAATGTTTGTGTTTACTGAAATTTCTCACATATTACAGTACACTTTTGGTACCAATTTGAGATTTACGTTTTTCTCCATCTGTGGAGCAGGAGACTTCAGTAAATGTCTCCATTTTCATCGTTTAATCTCATTGTTGTCTAGGTAGGTGAAGCAAATGAGATTAAAGACATCACACATATGCTTTTTATTCCCAGGACCATTCTGCCTTAGTGAATAAAGACTAGTGAATACCAATACCAACACAAGTCCACACAATATTTTCCAAGATTTACAGACTTAAAATTGTACTTACGTGTGTGGCCTGACGCTAATATAGTTTTTAGGTACGTAGCCCTTCCTGTTAACCAACTCTGCTGTGTACCAGTTAGGATCATCTTCCTTATTAGTGATCTAGTGGAAGAACAGCCAGTAAGCTTTGACCAGATCAAATTATTTGTAGCAAACAGAAGCTCTGTATGTATAATCCAACTCAAAACAGTTTATACCTTGAGTACATCTCCCTTCTGAAAGCTAAGCTCATCACTTTCCGTAGCACAAAAGTTGTAAATAGCTATTGCTTCCATCCTGAGTCCACTGAGCTGGAGGTGAACCCAAAAAGATCAATATAACTAGACGTCCCACCACAGCCACAAGATACTGACCGGAGGAAAGGATTGAGCCAGAGAGCATCCACACTGAAACAGACTGTCCAGAGACACGCTCACTGTCAAACACTGCGCCCTGATAAATGAACCGAGAGAACTAGCATGAGAAAGTGTGTGGGTCTAAAAGAGAGCAAGAGAGAAAAAAACATGTGGGAGGGAGGCAGGGGTGGCAGTTCCTGTCTCAGCGTGCTCTAATAGAAGGAAATACAGCTATGCGAGAAACAGGAAAGTTAAAAAAATGATGGGAGGACGACAAAAAGAATGGCCTCTCGAAAACTTCCCCTCATCAGAGAGCCGGACCTGCGTATTACAAGTAAAGAAAAACACATATGTGTTTGCCAGACTGCTGTTTTATGAGCAGATCTGTAGTTTGTAAATTTATCTGGTTAATCTGTGTTAGGCTTGCATATTACTACTCCCATGTCTGGAAATAGCTGGTGATGAATTATATCAGCCGAGGAGCTCATCTGAAAAGAGTATATGATTCGAAGAACATATGTGTTTCGAGATGAGCAAACGTCCCCATAGAGCTGCATGACTCACAGTACAACTCTCATGTTCCTCTATTGGTGGTGCTGTTTAATCCTGAAATGCACATGGACGTCCCATTTTTGCTATATTTCTCACATAAAGTGGTCTTTTCTTTTGATCTCCTCAGTTATGGTGCCTTTGAACCTTTTTTTTTTTTGCATATTTATGCTTTTTTTATAGTAAAACGGTTTTCATTAATACTTAGCTTCCATATGGTATCTGTTATCAGCATGTAGAAATATACTTTAATATCACATTGATATCCATATTTATATTTAGAAAGAATGATTGCAAGCTGTCATTTATAAGATGCACAATGAACAATGTATTAACATTAACAAAAATGAATACAGGGTAAAATTGTCCTTTTTACGCATGTTACATGTTCTTGTGAATAACAATAAATTACATGCAACTAACTTAAAATAAACCCTATTCCTAACCCTATACTAAGTACATGTTAATTAATATTACTCAGTACTTAAATACATAATTACACAGTAACAAGGACACCTTCAAATAAAGTGTAACCATACTGTAACAAATGTATCACTCATTGCAGTTAATGTTATTAAATCATTAAGTAACATTAACTAATGGGACCTTATTGTAAAGTGTGAGCAGTGGGGTATAGTTCAGTCACATTTTTTCTCACACACATCTAAAGTGTCATTCAAATTTATTTTTCATTGACTTATCCAATAATTAAGATGGCACACATTAGATAACCAAATTCAACGAGTCTATCATTGGCTATACAAGAGGACCATAATGGCACTCATTACATGCACAGACAGTCAATATTGCTGTTTGAGCTGATGTTATGAACACTACCCTGCTGGGCGAGAGTTTAGCCTTAAAGAAAGAAGGTCGCTTCATAAGCTATCACTTAAACATGATATATCTCTTGTATGTGTACAGATATCTCCACATAAACTACAAATTATGAAATCAACTCAACAACATTTTCCGTGACTTAACTGTTACATCATATTGGAAACATTTTGCACCACAAAAGGCAATCTGTAAATGTCAGCAGCACTCAGATGTAAGAGTGCTTGTGAGAAACTGCTTGGTGTGAAGGTGTGTGGATAGTCAGTTAAGATGCTTATGTGTGAGATACTTTATTGCCGGAAACCTCTATATCTATTTATACACTCTAAAAATGCTGGTTTGTTCAACCCATGTTTGGGTCAACATGGGTTGAACAATATATATATGAAAGCCATAGTATTTAAAATGTAATTATATTTTTTTTAAAATCCAGAGAAACTTACTTATCAATATAAACAATCATATGAGGGACAGAAAACAGGGCGTCCTGAGCATGAAACAAGGAAACCACAAACCCATGTGACAGAGGGTGAAAGAGACAGTTGCACCATTTTACACTTGATTGCTCATTTGACTCAGGTGTATGATTAATAACTGCAAAATTTAAACAATCCTCATTTAAAAGTCATGCACTGTATTCTTTGTCACCAATAGACTGCAGTGAAACATTCTTCTAAACAAAAGAAAATATAAAACGTTTAAAGGGATAGTTCACTCCAAAATGAAAATTATGCCATCATTTATTCACCCTCATGCTGTTACAACCCTTTATGACTTGCTTTTTTCTTTGGAACACAAATGAAGATTGTTGTGTGTCTGTCCATGCAGTAGTAGTCAATTGTAACCAAAAACTTCATTGCCATGTGAAGAAAGCTATATGCAGATTGGGAAAAATTTTGACATTGCTAAATGGAAACTACTGTTTTGTTTCTCGGTAGGATGTCACATGCAGTCTGTGTGCAGAAATAAATGCAGGCATGAAAAGAGCCACACGGCTCAACCACACGGCTCTGATATGGTCATAGAGGGGGATCTGTTTACTTTTAGATTCACTATACATTTACCATATTCTATAATTAATGAGAGTATAATACTGAGATTTAATATCTGGAGGTAAAACTGTGGTGGCAATATAGAGATTGGCAGACTTGTCTTACTTTTTTTGTATTGTATTAAACACAGGTCTATTTCTGTACCACGAGAAGGAGGAAAATCTTTACCATGCTGCCACTTACTGGTCAACTCATGTCAATACTATCAAATCTTTTCTAATGTAGCTGCCCAAAAGGCTAGGCTGTGTATGAGATGTAAACTAAACATTCTTCTTTTGCTTATCGACATGCATTCAAGAATTTAATTCCAACAATTGCGATAGAAGATATGTAGCCTATTTGTTACTAAAAACATCAAATTATGCAGTCCAAGTGTAAAAACATAGTGTAATCCTCAGGCTTGAAATGGAAACCAGCAAGTCTATGTCTATCTATTCAAAGCAGACACCTGATATACTTTCTGATATATTGCAGTGACTATAGAATAGTAACTTCAGTAGTAGTAAAACTAGTAACTTGGTAGACATTACTGTCAGAAAATAAAATATAAAATAAAATACAGAGGAAAGATTGTTGGAAATCCAAAAAATTATTTGTTATGGCTTTATATTATTAACCATTACTGTGGCGTTCAGGTGGAAAATATTGTAGCCTACATTTTGTACAAAAAAGGGGGAATGTTATTGTATTATATTAATATTAGGCTGTACAAATAATGTTATTATTCATTTACTTTGTAAATCTTCTTCTGATAGGCTACACAGTTACTTTAAACATGATGAGAATATTAAATTTATTTCCTTGAAAAAGCCCATCAGGGTCACAGTCAGATTTCTCTAATTTCAGCCCACTTGGGGGCCACATTCCACCGATTTGATCAGTTTCGGGAATAAGTCTCACGATGACGAAACCTATGCTCTAATTTCTGCTGAACACCGTATAATGCGTGTCTTGGTGGACTTTCATGGCCGTGAAGAGGCTTGCGGCGGTGATATTTCTGGAAATAAACAGTTTTAAGAATGAAACCCAGTGAGTTTGGTCACACCCTTTGGCTGGTCTCGCCCCTCCTGAGGAGGATGAATGTGCAATCAGACTCAGAGCGCCATGTTGAACGGTGTGGGTGTCACACACACACACAAGCCCAACACACCAACACTAACGCTCACCTCGGCCGTTTCTTAGAAAATAAAGTTCCTATATCTCTCATACGAGTAGTCTGTACTTATGCCGGGTGTTACCCCCGGTCATCATCAGCACAGGAGGTTTGGTAAGTTATTGTTTTTGTTTTCTAGTCGCTTCTCTCAGTGCGGCGATATCTCCACCGAGCACCACACTTCGGCTTGAGGTTTAACTAATTCAGGAGTTTTTTTAAAAACAAACTCACTTCTGAGAGTGAAGGACTATGATAAAGCTAGGTATTATTTGGGGTGTGAGTGGAATTAGAGCGACATTTGATTAAACTAGCAAGTTAGTCAAAGCATAGCCACAGTTAGCTAGCCTAAGCGGCTAATACTTCAAATCACTTTATAGCTTTTAAAAAGTCGTTATCCCTAAAAATAAAACATCAAAACACTACAATTCAGGTGTGCTAAGTCTTGCAACATTTTTAACAACATTATATTAGCAGCATAAAATAGTTTAGTTTTTAAAAAGTTCTCACAGTTGATGAAACTTTCGTCGTGGTTTCTGTTACGTTAGCTTGCTAACGTTAGTTAGCAATTAAACGTTAATAATGGAAACGGTCTGAAGTCGTTAACGTTGCTGTTGTACATCTTTTTAAACACACACGGACATTTAAGCGTAGGTTTATTTTTTATTTTGGTCAACAATAGAACGTTTTATGGGTTTGGTTTTGCTAACGTGCTAAAGTTAGCTTGATACTTAAAACATTTGTAACCGGCCTTGTTTGGTTAAACTGTTGGCAACAAGTATCCGTGGGATTTTGTGTTTCTATAATAGTTATACATTCAAATAGAGTTGTAAACACGTATTTTCTATTCATCTCTAATCTTCGTCCATTCCGTATATCTGTAAGTATAATTCCTCTAGCTATGGTATCTTAAATATTTTACCACGACTTAACTTGGGTTTATACAGTCCTTTATTGTTACGTTAACTAATAGCTTTCTGTTCTGATTAGATTTACGGTTTCTAATTCAGTATTGTTGTAGGTGTATCTGTGAGATTACTGTGTAGTCGCAAATCATTTGCTTAAGTTTGTGTAAAGACGGATTTGTAGATTGACCAGTTTGTTTAGTCGACACAACAAAGATTGTGGACAGTGTGACCCGACAGAACCGTTTTATCCCCACAACATGGACGTTTCACACAGTTCCCCCCTCTGATCTCCTAGTGGACACACCCGTGATTGAGGAGAATCATTGTCTGTTGTTTCTATAATCAATTTCTGCATCTTCATCTTTTAGTGTTTTGCTTCCTGTAATTAGACATTGTCTCTAGAGGACAACTGAGGAAGGAGCCGATCATCTACCTTTATTTAGCAACTGAAGTGGAGTTTACCAATTATCATGTCTTAAAAATAAAATAAAACTGATTTAGAGCTTGAACATAATATATATTGTAATATATAATATATGACGTGTAATTTCAAGGACATTCTATAGTATTATAGGACACAGTCTACTTGAAGTGGCAGAACCGGCTGGATTACCGGAGAGCAGAATATAGTGCTCATGCGCCCATTCTCACAAGCTCTGGCTTATGTGAAATTCACCAT